GCACCGCACCCTCTGGATCCAGTGTGAACAATGGAGACAACACTAGCAAAAACGCCACAGCAAAGGCAAGTCGTTTTTCTTACTATATTGTTGCTTTTGTGGGAGTATGGCACCGAGGCAATTAGATATTCCATGCCAGAAGAAACAGAGAGTGGCTACTTGGTGGCTAACCTGGAAAAAGATCTGGGGCTCAGGGTGGGGGAGCTGGTCTCTAGAGAGGCACGAATCCATCACAGAGGAAACAAAGAGCTCTTGCAGCTGGATGCAGAGACCGGGAATTTACTTGTAAAGGAAAAACTAGATCGCGAGGAGCTGTGTGGGGTGACAGAACCCTGTCTGCTGCACTTCCAGCTCATACTGGAAAACCCTGTGCAGTTCTTCCAAACTGACCTGCAGCTCACAGACATAAACGACCATTCTCCAGAGTTCCCTCACAGAGAAATGCTCCTGAAAATCCCTGAGAGCGTCCAGCCAGGGACTGTGTTTCCTCTGAAGGCAGCTCAGGACTCTGACATAGGGAGCAATGCTGTTCAGAACTACACAGTCAGCTCCAACCTCCATTTCCATGTGGTCACTCACAGTCGAGCTGATGGCAGGAAATACCCAGAGCTGGTGTTGGATAGAGCTCTGGACAGGGAGGAGCAGCCTGAGCTCACTTTAACCCTCACTGCTGTGGATGGAGGGTCTCCGCCCAGGTCTGGGATGACCACTGTTCACATTGAAGTCGTGGACATCAATGATAACGCCCCCCAGTTTGTACAGTCGCTCTATGAGGTTCAGGTCCCTGAGAACAGCCCCGTGGATGCCTTAGTTGTCATGGTCTCTGCCAGGGATTTAGATGTGGGACCTTATGGGAATGTAGTCTACTCTCTGTTTCAAGGCGGTGGAGCTTCTCAACCATTTGTAATAGACGGGGTCACAGGAGAAATCCGTCTGAGCAAAGAGTTGGATTTCGAGGTAACTAACCATTATAACATAGAAATTGCGGCCACAGATGGAGGTGGCCTTTCGGGGAAATGCACTGTGGCTGTACAGGTGTTGGATGTGAATGACAATGCCCCAGAGCTGACTATCAGAAAGCTCACAAGCCCTATCCCAGAAAACTCCCTGGAGACTGTAGTTGCTGTTTTCAGTGTTTTTGATTTAGATTCTGGGGACAATGGAAGGATGGTGTGTTCTATGCAGAATGACCTTCCATTTCTTTTGAAGCCCACATTCGAGAACTATTACACTTTAGTGACAGAGGGGCCACTGGACAGAGAGAGCAGAGCTGAGTACAACATCACCATCACAGTCACCGACCTGGGCACACCCAGGCTCACAGCCCAGCACACCATAACAGTGCAGGTCTCAGACGTCAACGACAACGCCCCCGCCTTCACACAAACCTCCTACACCCTGTTTGTCCAGGAGAACAACAGCCCCGCCCTGCACATAGGCACCATCAGCGCCACAGACTCAGACTCAGGCTCCAATGCCCACATCACCTACTCGCTGCTGCCCACCCACGACCCGCAGCTGGCCCTCTCCTCGCTCATCTCCATCAATGCAGACAACGGGCAGCTGTTCGCGCTCAGGGCGCTGGACTATGAGGCCCTGCAGAATTTCGAGTTCCGTGTGGGCGCCACAGACCAAGGCTCGCCTGCGCTCAGCAGTCAGGCTCTGGTGCGCGTGCTCGTGCTGGACGCCAATGACAATGCGCCCTTCGTGCTCTACCCACTGCAGAACGCGTCTGAGCCCTGCACAGAGCTGCTGCCCAGGGTGGCAGAGCCAGGCTACCTGGTCACCAAGGTGGTGGCTGTGGACAGCGACTCTGGCCAGAATGCCTGGCTGTCGTTCCAGCTGCTCAAGGCCACGGAACCAGGGCTGTTCACCGTGTGGGCTCACAATGGTGAGGTGCGCACATCCAGGCTGCTGAGTGAGCGCGATGCTCCCAAGCACAGGCTGCTGCTGGTGGCTCCCAGGTCTGCCAGTGTCACTCTGCAAGTGCTGGTGGTGGATGGTTTCTCTCAGTCCTACCTGCCTCTGCCTGAGGTGGCACAGGAACCCGCACAGGAAGATGAAGTCCTCACATTCTATTTGGTCATTGCCTTGGCATCAGTGTCTTCGCTCTTCCTCTTTTCTGTGCTGCTGTTTGTAGGAATGAGGTTGTGCAGAAGGGCCAGGGAGGCCTCGCTAGGTGGCTGCTCTGTGCCTGGGGGCCACTTTCCTGGTTATCTGATGGATGTCAGCGGCGCAGGGACCCTTTCCCAGAACTATCAGTATGAAGTGTGTCTGACTGGAGACTCTGGGACCACAGATTTCAATTTCCTTAAGCCCATTATTCCCAATAGTCTGATTCCAGACACTTAAATGTTGGATAGTTAAAATTATAGATATGTCTTAGGTGTCTAAGAGAAATAGAAAATAGTATTTGTCGGATGTTAGTATTTTTTGGTAATCGGTAATATTTCCCTGAAATTATGTTTTATTTCTGTATGGTTTTACTTTTTGTGTCATCAGTTAATGCTTTAACTGTCTCCTGTCTTACTAACACAATCTTAGTGTATGCTCTCTCTTACTCAGACGATAGTAAAATCTTCACTGTGCTAGTGATGACTGAAATAGTTTTAAATCTCATTTAATGTAGTGAATTTGGTGAACAATGTAGAATCCCAAACGTTTTCACAATTTATAACAATTTCCTCTTGATTTTTAGGAGGTATTTTAACTATGCAATGTGCTAGGTTTGTTGTGATGCTTGCATATATGCAGATAATGTACCTTGTTTCATCTTGTCACTAATATTCAGCCTCCCACCTTGCTTTTATATTGCCCCTGAATACCACCCAGAAGTGAAAATGTTCTACGCTTGTCTTTGTGTGTGTGCCTATTGTTCCATCCATTTTTCTGCAAATGATGTAGTTTTTCATTCTTCTTTGTAGATGAGTAAAATCTCAGTGTGTAGGTTGGAGGTGTGGATTAGTTGGTAGAGTACTTGCTCAGCATGCACAATGCCCTGGCTTTGAGTACCAGTGTCACACAGCACACTGAAGCTCCATCTGGATTACATAAGACTATGTCTCTCAAAAAACAAAACAAAACTTCATTTTGCATAAACACTACATTTTCTTTATTTATCTGTTACAATAATTCTAAAGTGTTCTCTCTATAGTAAAAAATGGTGTTCAGTACAAATGAAATACATTTTCCTTAAGAAATATAATAATTTGCAATCCTTTTAGGAGCAATAGGTTTAACCCATTTCTTTATTGATAGTAGCTACCACTGTTTTTGAGACAGGGTCTCTCTACATTGCCCAGACTGTCATGGAACTCACTATGTAGACCTACTTGGCCTCAATCTCATGGAGATCTATCTACTGCTCTCTCTCCTGAGTACAGAGATTGATGTCAAGCAACACAATACCCAGAAGCAACTAGCATTCAAGATTTCATTTTTATATTGGCTAAAAGCCAAAACCATAGATAAATCCACTGGATTACTTTTATACTTTTATGCTTCATGGTTATTAAAAGTATAATCACAGTTTACAGGAATAAATTAAGCATAAGTCATTTTAAACTCCTGAGCATTCTTTCCTTTTCATGTTGTTTGGTGAGGTGTATAGTTAGATGTCATTTTGATATGTTTTAGTAAAAACCCATGGGATATTTTTTTTAAAGTACCACAGAAAGGACAGGAGTTCTATTATGCCCCATTGGTTACTGATACCCATTTCTCACATATATGCTAATGTAGGTGGAAAGTATTTTCTTAGCTTACTGTCAAGGTTTCTTCAGATTGTAATCTGACATAGTTTAGGATTGCTCAGAGTCTTGCTTAGATAATAACTTTTGATCCATAGTCTGCATCAACCATTGTAACAAAAACATGTATGGAAATGGGAATTAGAGAACAATATCATTGAGAAAGATCAACTACAACTTAGAATTAAATCTAGAAGGAACCAAAACTTCAAATATTATGCCTATTTTGAAGGAAATATGTCTTAGTTTTCTAATGCTGTGATAAAATACCATGACCACGGCAAGAAGAAAGAGTTCTATCAAGAAAGACTCTGTGAAGAATAGAATTCCTGGGGATGTACAGTTTCAGAGGGTGAGAGTCTATTACCATGATGGCAGGGAGTATTGCCAGGAGTATACAGAAGGCAGAAATAGTGCTGGAGAAGTAACTGAATACTTTATACCTTGACCCAGGATCAGGAGACTAATTGGGAATGGTGTGGGCTTTTGAAACCACTAAGCGTACTCCCAATGACACAACAGCTCCAACAAGACCACACCTAATCCTTCCCAAATGGTCCCACCAACTAGGGACTGAGTATTCCAATATATAAGCCTATGGGACCATTCTCATTCAAACCACCATAGACTGTGACTCCATGGTAGAGCACATTTTTATTGTGCTCATGACCCTAGATTCTATCTCCACCACAAAAGTAGGACTTTTCTTTGGACAGTTACTCTCCTAATATTTTCTCTAGTTATTAAAATCTTTGTGAATACTGTACAGTGTAGGTTATCTACAGCCCTTCCCTCTCATTTGTGCCACACAATAGCACAAATTCCACCTTTACAAATTATATATGCACGAACAAGTGTTCATAATTATTCAAAGATACACTGTAGAAAGTTGAAGGATAAAAAAGATATACCATAAAGAAAGTAAACAAAAGAAGTTTGGAGAATAGCAAAAATCAAGCAAAATTAATTTTAAAGATCATTAAAACATTGCTAAAGAGGGCCATCACAGATGATAAAAGGGAGAACCTATTGGGAAAACGTAACAACTTAAACAGGATATAGTTCCCTAAAGACACGCCCCAGGTGATTCTAGATTTATCAAGTGAACAATTGAGATCATCCATCACAACAAATGAAGCAAAATTTGACATAAATAATATTTAACTTTGATGAATTAATTTGACTGGGTTAAAAAGAACACCTGCATCATTAATGAGGTACACCTTTGGGTGTGTCTGTGAAGGTGTGTCCAAAGGTATTTAGCTGGGGAGATAAGACACACCCTAAATGTGTTGGAAACATTTCATGGGGTGGGGTCCAAGACTGAATTAAAAAAGGAGAAAGTGATCTGAGCATGAGGAGACATCTTTCTCTGCTCCCTGACTTTATATGTAATGTGACCGGCCATTTCATGCACCCAATGTTGTGCCTTCACCATCATGATGGACTGTATTCCCCCAAATGCTGAGCCAAAGTAAACCCTTTCTTCACTAAATATTTTTTATAACAATGGGAGAAGTAACTAATTAAATCACCAAGACTTAAAAACCAACTATAGGTCCCATGGAATGGCTTGGTGTGTAAAGGCACCTTTCACTAAGTCTGATGACCCACACTGTAGTAGAGAACTGGCTCTCAAAAGTTTTCCTCTGATTGCCACTCATACACCATACCACATAGCACCCATGAGTAAATATAATTTTCTAATTAAAAATAAAAACTACACCTGACTGAGCATTTGACTCAAAAACAGAAGAAGACACATTTTTTTCAATTGCTAATAGCACATTTTTCAGGATGGGCGTCATAAAACATGATTCCACAAATTTTAATTATTGAAACCAAGCAATACTTGATCTAAAATCACAATGGAATTAACTTGGAAATTCAGAAAATTCACAAACACATGGAAATTAACATATTTGGAAGCAGTAAAAGAAATCACAAGGAACATAGCAAAGTCCTCCAAAATGACTGAACATGAAATACAACATAGTAAAGTATCTATGATGTTCAATTAAAGTCATGCTTAGAGGACCTGCAACCAATGGCCTAGTTAAATGTTTTCCCTTCATGCTCCAGTTTTCTTATCTTTCAGAGAATACACAGCAGCTACACTCATGCCGAAAACTGTGTCAGACATGCTCCATAGTTTTCACCTAAAATTAATGGACGATCCCTGGCACACTCTTCACTCTCTGTTCATAAGACTATGAGGAGATGGGAACCTTACTGTTTTCATGCTCAAAATGTTTTAGGATTGCACTTGCTTTCTTTTGGGTATTATGATACCCACAATTTAAGGGGTGTACATAAAGCTCATTGTAAAATATACTTCACCCATGATAGATTATACTGTATCAAATCAGGAACCAAAATAAAGCCTCCTTTAAGAATTCCTTACTTACAGGTAGCTAAGTAAGTAGATTTAAATCCTTGAAAGAATCACATGAATTTCTCTTGTTTGATTTTGTTCTGCTCAAATCCTGATTATATATTAACTCCTGTTATCTTTTCAAGCCTCCTTTGCCTTATTTGTTAAAATCCTTTAATCTCTTCCCAGGCCTAAGGTTCTGTGATTCATTCATGGTTTACCTCATCTCTATCTAGATCTAATTTATTTCACATAGTAAACGTCAAACTTCTTAAATCACCAGTTCTGCTATTAGTGCAGAGAAATAGAAGTCATCCTTAGAAAGACACCATCTCTTTCTTAGGATGATTGGGGTAAGAATTACTTGAAATATTTGCATCTCTAAAAACTGCTTATTTCTAAGAATCAAACTGTTGTAAATATCATGAGGTGGATTCAAAATCAAGCATTTGGTTTACTTGGTTAGATTTTGCAAAATACAAAAGAACTGTCAGATTCCACCAATTGGTCATTGAGTTAACTTCCAACTTCGTGCTAAAAAATTCTTCTGGTTCATGACCCAAAATGAAATATCTTTATTAGTTGTGCAACCTAAAATAAGAACAACACTTGTAAACAAAAAAAGTATAAAGATTTCTACATGTTGTTCATTCAGAAATTTTCAAAAGGTTTCCGATTTGAAAACACTGTCAGTTTCTCAATATGGACACAGGGTGGCGCTGCAGGCTAAGGTTATGAATTACTGCAAAAAAGCCTTCCTGGTCCTTTGTGTCACAAGACAGAATCAGATACACAGACTGGAAGCATCGCAAGGAATACTGGGCCCTGAATGGGTTTGGGCCGCGGTATACTAAATAAAAAAAGATTAAGAGCAACCAAGTAAAGAATCCCTCAAAGGAGAAATCAGAATCCAGCATTCAAGTCATTGGGAGTCAGCTGAACGATCAGATGCAAGCACCATGGAGAAGCTGGACAGAAATCTTCCGAACAGGCAAGTGATTCCTTTCCTTTTTATGCTGCTTTGGGATCAGGTTCTAACAGTACCTGCTCGGTACTCTGTCCTGGAAGAAACAGAAAGCGGCTCCTTTGTAGCCCATCTGGCCAAGGACCTGGGCCTGAGATCTGGGGACCTGGCTGCCCGGTCTGCACGGGTGGTGTCTGATTATGACAAACAGCAGTTGATTCTGGATCCTGACACAGGAGATCTGCTTCTGAGGGAGAAACTAGACCGGGAAGAGCTGTGTGTCCCTGTGGAGCCCTGTGTGCTACATTTCCAGGTGTTTCTAGAAAAGCCAGTGCAATTTCTTCAAGGAGAATTGCTGATCCAGGACATAAATGACCACTCACCAGAATTCCCAGATAAGGAAATGCTCTTGAAAATACCAGAAAACAGCCAGCCAGGGACTCTGTTACCACTGAATTTAGCTCAAGACTTGGATGTGGGCAGCAATGGGCTTCAACTGTACACAGTCAGCCCCACCTCTCATTTTCATGTGGTCACTCGAAATAACAACCCTGCAGAATTTCGAGTTCCGCGTGGGCGCCACAGACCAAGGTTCGCCTGCGCTCAGCAGCCAGGCGCTGGTGCGCGTGCTCGTGCTGGACGCCAATGACAATGCGCCCTTCGTGCTCTACCCTCTGCAGAACGCGTCTGCTCCCTTCACAGAGCTGCTGCCCAGGGCGGCGGAGCCAGGCTACCTGGTCACCAAGGTGGTGGCTGTGGACCGTGACTCTGGCCAGAATGCCTGGCTGTCCTTCCAGCTGCTCCAGGCCACTGACCAGGGCTGTTCACCGTGTGGGCTCACAATGGCGAGGTGCGCACCTCCAGGCTGCTGAGTGAGCGCGATGCTCCCAAGCACAGGCTGCTGCTGGTGGTCAAGGACAATGGCGATCCTCCTAGGTCTGCCAATGTCACTCTTCAAGTGCTGGTGGTGGATGGCTTCTCTCAGCCCTACCTGCCTCTGCCTGAGGTGGTGCGCGACCCTGAGCGCAGCAATGAGAACTTACTCACGCTGTACTTGGTCATTGCCCTGGCATCTGTGTCTTCGCTCTTCCTCTTGTCTGTGCTGCTGTTCGTGGGTGTGAGGCTGTGCAGGAGGGCCAGGGCGACGGCCCTGAGGGGCTGCTCTGTGCCTGAGGGCCACTTTCCTGGACACCTGGTGGGAGGTGTGTTTGAGGGGAGACTCTGGGACTGGTGAGTTCAACTTCTTCAAACCCATGGTACCCAACTTGTTGCTTCAGGATCCTGGGAGAGACGTTAAGGAAAGTCCCCACAGCAGGGATAGCTTCGTATTCAGCTAAGTGATTTAAATTCCTAAAGGTTGTTCAATTCTTTTAAATTTAGAAATGATTTTGTTTCTAAGAAGTTCTCTACTAGTCTAACCTACTTATATCCTTAATTGTGCTGTTATTTTTATTGGTATGAAGGTACTAGTCTTTTAGTTGTACTAATCATATTTCATATTTTTCTCTTCATATGAATATCTTTGTTATTAATACTCTCATAACCCTTAATAACCCAAATAGTATAATTTTTTAAATTATACTCTTAATGATTTTCTGAGAAAACTTGCATTCCTCTATAAATTTGTGGCACTTTTCTTTTTCTGTTTAATTTCATCTTTTCACAGGTAGATTGCTCAAAATTACTCATGTTGCCTGATCGTTCTTCATGAATAGGAAGCATTTTCATGCTAAGTGCCCTGAATAGTCAAGTCATAAAATTTAAACTGTATATGAATGTACACAAACATTGTGACACCTTTTGCTTGGAGCATCATGCATGCTAGTGGTCCTATTTATTTGCAAATGTTCTAGAAATACTAAGGTTAAAGTTTTGAATTCTTACTTGATGAAAATTAAAGAGGGAATGTGTAATTTCTCATTCTACTTATTAAATAAAATGGTTACATCTCTGCTTTGCCATAAACCTCATTTAATAATTAATCTCAGAATCAGAATTTGTTCTTTCTTTCTTAAAAGGAGAATGCAGGGTTATTGAGGGCATCACATTTATAATTATTCTCCTCATATAAAGAATTTCAAGCATGATGTAATGTGTGTCTTTTCCAGAAGTGTCTCCCACCTTCAAATGAGGAAATTTGTTTGGAAGGTTGGGTAGTCTGATTCTGTTTATTAGAAGATTTCAATTTTTAATTGAGTGAAAAATTTGGTGCCTTGGGTAGAGTTTAATCAATCAGCAAAATTTATTTTTGGTGTTAAGTTTTTTTGTTTTGTTGTTTAGTATACATTTCAGTCACTTTGAGTTAAACTGATGAATAAGAATGAATATTATTTTGTTAATCAAATAGAACAGTAGCATTCTTACTGATTTGTAATTGCAGCATTCTCTTGTGTTCAATAAGTCTGGTAAACTGAGTTTCTAACTCACACAAAACCACTTGAACTTTTGGCAGAAAATTAGCAATTGAAAAGCATTATTTATATACTACTATCTATTTCTAAATCTTTATTATCAGTCTATATGAAGTGAAGTAGTTCTGTTTTTACCCACATTCATCTCCTCACCAAAGCTACACAACAATGAATAAGGTAAATTATGGCCTTTTAAATTCTTCTTGAAATGTAGATTTTAGTCATCAATTTTTTAAAAGAGAGATAAATAACCCTAAGACAGGGAGCCACACACAGAAGACCTGAAAGTGAGGAGGACACATATTAGGAAGAAGGGCTTTGGCAGGAGAGGGAGGGTGTAGAGAGATTTGGGGTGTAAGAAAGGGCTAAACAATGTCTGAAGAGATAATGACTGATGGTTTCTACCACTGCTGAGTCTTCGAATTTTTGGGGTATCTAGAGAAACCCCATCAAAGTTGCAGAAAACAAAGCTCATTTGAACATATCATAGGAAAGTTGCTCAATACAAGATCTAGGACAGGAAAAAATTAAAGCAGGTGTATAAAAATGATGTATTTCTTTTATTTATTTATTTATTTTTATTTTATTTGTTTTGGTCTCTCAAGATAGGGCTTCTTTGTGTATCCATGACTGTTCTGCAGTTCACTCTGTAGACCAGGCTTGTGGTGAACTCAGAGATCACCCTGCCTCTGCCTCTAGGGTTCTGGGATTAAAGGTGTGTGCTGCCAGTGCCCAGCATGTCATATTTCTTTTAAAGGAGCACCAGTGAAGCTAGAACTGATTTTAAGCATCAATCATGAAATCAAAGACAATGTCTTTAAATTCCTGAAGAGAAAGTATTCCTGGCTATAACTCTATATCTCACATACCCTTTCATGTTGAAACTTTTGGGCAAAGACTGAGAGAAATTGTTGAGCCACACAGGGACTGAGAGGAAAACTTTTAGTGAGTTAATTAGGCAGAAGGAAAACAATCCCCAAAAGATTGCAGACTTTCGTCAAGACGTAAAATGTCAAGACGTAAAATGTAACAGGAAAGGTTATGAGTGGACGTTGACCAGGTGTTGACTGTATAAAGTCAGAAGTGGTGTCTCAAAATTCTTGGAAACCATAATGCAAAGTCAGAAGAATAGATGTAAAGAAAAAAGAAAACATGAAACCTTTTGAAAATGAAAAGGAGCCCAGGCTGGTAGCACACTCCTTCAGTCTCAACACTATGGAGGGAAAGGTTGGTGGATCACTGCAATGGAGGCCAGCCTTGTCTACAGAGTAAGTAGCAGGCCAGCCAGCCAGAGCTATGTAGTGAGATCCTGCCTCAAAAAATTGGTCTTATTAATTTTTCTTCTGATCATTAATTCATGGACATATTTTGTGTGATAATTTGGGTTTTGGGGGAGATTTTTGATTAAAAATCTTATTTTACATACCAATCCCAGTTCCCTCTCCCTCCTGTCCTCTCATTCCCCCCACAATCTCCCCATTCCACCCCCATCCACTCTTCAGAGAGGGGGATGATCAAAGTCTGTCACATCATTTGGGGCAGGAGGGAGGCCCTCCCCCCTGTATCTAGGCTGAGAGAGTATCCCTCCATAAAGAATGGGCTCCAGAAAGCCAGTTTGTGCACTAGGGATAAATACTGGTTCCACTGCCTTGGGGGGAGATTTTTAAGATTTTTTCTTTGAAATATTATTCTGTTCACACAACTACATTCCATATTTATTTTTACTGTTTCAGTAGGCCTTCCTTAAGGATATTTCATATGGAAATTAAATCTATTTTTAGAAAAATAAAGTTTTCTATTGAATCTTGCTTTTCTTCCTTCTCTTTATTATTTCTTTCTGGGAACTTTTTTTTTCTTGAGATCCTCATTCTGTTCTCCACACCCCTTGAGTTGACATTTTTATTTCTCCCTTCTATGTCAGTAGATTGTCTCAATGTCATCTCAGCTTATCCCAAGTCTGTCAGTCTACAAAGATGTACAAGTAACTAAAAGTCATGTTGATAAATTTCTCGATGATAATTTATTTCTAGCTTTACTATTTTTAACAATTAAAGACCTCATGTGATTTTTATTATGACCTTGGGATCGACTTCCCATCTCTCAGTTCTCCCTTGGTTCTTTTGGATATAAATCACTGAGATTACCACATCCTGATGATGGAGAAGTCATATATACATACACACCTCCATAATATACATGTACAACTTTTATCAGAGATTACACTCTCATATATTACATCTACTTTCCAGTTATCATAGGTTTAACGTGAGGAGTTACTTACTATCTCTAACCTTGACTGCTCTCTCCTCTACTTTACTGAGAAGTCTCAGTGCAATGAGAACAGATTCATGAGGAAATCACTTGTTTCCAATGAATTTTTCATGTACAATGGCTGCTGTTGCTGCCTTTCTTTTCCTCCCTGCTGTCTTTGCTCTCACTCTTGTTCTTTCTTCTTTTATTTTCTTCTATTTATATCTCACATGTACTAAAGATTTAGAGGCAAGAAGCACATTACATAAGAGCTGTGTGTATGTTGACTGTGTGCAGGATATTTGGTACAAAGTAAAATTTGAATATGTTCAGGTGATGAAATCATGAGAACCAGTGGGCCATGAACTTCCTAGATTACATTATAATGTCTGTCCTACACAATGTATTTATTTTTGTTTCTGTTAATCTTGAATAAATCAAACCCTCAAAAATGTATAAGGAACAATGTTGTTGCATTTGACAATTTATATAAAATCCCATTGAAATTTCAAAACTGAAGAAAATATAAAACCTAACCTGTCACATCTATTAGATATTTAATTCATTTCAGATGCTGAATTATTATGAATGTTCATATGAGAACGAGAACATATGTGTAATTTTGTATAAGTAGTGAACATTTTACAAATCAGCTAGGTGCCAGCAACTCTGAATAGATTATGGTATCCAAACTTCAAAGGACAGTTTTAGAAAGAAATGACAAAACAAACTCTTCTATAATTATACATGGACATGCTCTGTTTTCTAACAAAAAGACAATCAGATTCAGAGATGTGTAAGAAGAAAGCAATGATGACATCATACATTAATCTGTCTAATGCAAACCAGTTCAGTATTTGAAATCTGATCACTGTAACTCACCATAGCAAGAGGTCAAGGAGAAAATACAATGAATCACAATGGATACAGAAAATATACTCAATAAAATACAACACATATTAATAGGCAAAATGCTAGCAAATGAATATAGGAGAGAATTTTTGAGTATGTGCAAAATTATACAGTAGCCAAACATGGTGGCATGTCTTTAATCCCAGCAGTCAGGAGGCAGAGGTTGGTTGGTCTCTGTGAGTTCAAGACAATTCTCCACAGGGAATTCCAGAACAGCCCAGGCTACACACAGTGACACCTGGTTTCATAAGGTACCAAACAAATATATGTGTGTATAGTAAATATCACTGAAGATAAACTATTAAATTTTTTTCTGCTGGAAATCAACAATGACACAAGGATACCTGCCCTGGGTATTAACAACACTTTACTACCAGTCCCAGCCACAACAAAGTAAAAGGCCCAGCAGAAGAAATAAAATCTTTAAATGACAAAATTATATACTTAAAGCAATAAAAACTCTGCATTCAGAAGTGATAAAGTAAGCCAGGAATCCTGGCAGATCCAAGATCATAGTTTATATGAAGAAGAATTCAAAAATTGAAATAGCATTTAAAATGGCTTCCAAATGTATAAATACCAAGAAACAAATCTCTTATGGAGTTGTAAAGCAGGAAGATCAAACTTTATTGAGAAAAATATAAAGATCTAAATAAATTGAGGAATGCACAATAGTCTACTGGAAAGACTCAGTGATTGAAATGGTTTTGTTTTTTTGATTTTTCAAGACAGGGTTTCTCTGTGTAGCTTTGGAGCCTATCCTGGCACTTGCTCTGGAGACCAGGCTGGCCTCAAACTCACAGAGATCCGCCTGCCTCTGCCTCCCGAGTGCTGGGATTAAAGGCGTGCTCCACCAACGCCTGGCCTGATTGAAGTGTTTTTTATCTTTCAACAAACCAAGCAACCCACCTAGCAACTAACCAACCAACCATAAAGCCTCATGCAAAATTTCAGCAATGTTCTTTGTGAATTTGATGGGCTGAATATATATTTTGTATGTAAATACAAAGAGAAAATAATAAAGCAATCTTGATCCCCAAATGATGATTATTCTACAAAGATAATGTGATCTATTGAAGTAATAATTGATGATGCACACTTTTATTAAAATTAGATTTTCTACTCTGTGAAAGATTCTGCCCAAAAGGTCATAGACCAGGAGAAAATCCTGCGAACTGATGTGTTTGATAAAAGACAGCTGTGCAAATGACAAAGACTCTAAGGACTCAACATTAAGAAAACAAGCCTCTGTATCATAAAAGAGGTACCAAACACCCTAAAATTTACCAAACAAAACTCAGAGATGGTATGATGGCTATTCTTGGTTGTCAGCTTGACTACATCGGGAATTAACTAAAATCCCAAAATGGGGCACACCTGTGAGTGATATTTGCTTACTCTGAAGTGGAAAGAGCCAGTTCTAAATATATCTTTGGGTGATTTTTACTAAGCTTCTGTGGCTAACCAGTGTGGCTGCTGGGATTAAAGGTGTAGCCACCACTGCCTGGTCTCTGTGGCTGACTAGTGTGCTAGCTTTGTACTCTGATCTTCATCACCACATCTTCAGTGAGTGAAAATGAGATAGTCTCATGCAATCACAAAATGGGACATTATTCAATACCAGGTGAAATGAGCTGTTAACCCATGAAGAGGCACTGAGAAAACTTAAACACATGTTCATCCCTGGAGGAAGCTGAAAAAACCCTAGCTACACAAAATTTTGAAAAGTCCAAAGTGTACAGATGTTATAAAAGATCAATGATTTCCAAAGATTCAGAAAAGGGAGATTGAGACAAATAAATGGATTTTGAAGATTTGTGGTCAGGGGAACTACTTTGTGGTACTCAAAAATGGATGCCTGTCATGATAAATTAATCCAAATATATGTAGTGTGTGGAGTATGTAGAGGGAATCCCAGTTAAAGTGATGGACTCAGGAAAATAACACAAGCTCAATCAGTTATAAGAAATGTACTATTCTAGACTGAATTATAATGAGGAAGTTTATGCCCAATTGTGAAGGTTCTCTGTGTCTTTTAATATTTTTTTGCTGATTTAAAATTCATTAAAACTCATATATTTCAGGAGGTATTTTACCCTTATGATAATAAGATCGTTTATAGGGTTATGCGAAGTAAGAGAGCATAATATTGCTTGATATTCAAAGACAAAAGGAACCTTTGAGATGATTCATGATCACCTGACTTTTGACAATTGTGACAACTCAGAAACAATGGAGAATGGATCATCTTTTCGGTACAGACTAACATGCCAGTTGGGAAACTATGACTCAGATCTTAAGCACTTGAAAGAGTTTAAGTTTATTGTAGCTTTAAATATGAAAAATAAAAACAATCATTCAAAATATATAAGAATTCTTATGACCATGGAGATGGAAAGAAATGGAAAATACTGACAGATCAGGTTAAGTTAAAATTAGAAACTGTTGTTTCTCAAAGACATCATAATGAGGTTAAAATAGAAGGCATAGAGTGGGAAAATTATTTTCAGTATGCATATACAAAAACAGAATTATGCTAAAATATTCTTCTGCAGACCAACAAGCCATCAGACAAATGCATCAGATAAAAGCATGTATAAAAGGCCTCATGTTAAGAAAACATCTGAATGGTCAGTAAACAAGTGGAAGTTTGCATCATTTCATTAATCACCAAGGAAATGCTAATTAAATGTACACTACGACATCCATACTCACTGGAGTGGTTAAAACTGGAAAGACAGCATCAAATGTTGACAAGATTATGGAGCAACTGGAATTCCCATGCATTGCTGGAATTATTTTTCCACATTGTTGGGAATGGATGCCAATCCACTGAGTGCACTAGACAAGCATTCTATTATTGAGCTGTATCTCTATCCCCAACTTTTAAAGAAATCTTTTTGAGACAGTGACTCATTATATATCCCACTCTGGCCTTGAGTTTGTGATACCCCATGTCGTCCCACAGATGGAACTACAGGGGTGATCCACCAGGGGCAGCTCAGGACAACTACTTTTGAAAACTATTTCACAGTGCTTGCCAAGGCTAAATGTATTTTCACACTTGGATGCACAGCAAATCATTCTGATAATATCATATATGCATATGTTATACATAGGATGTGTGAAGGATTGTTCATAGGAGTAACATTCAAAAACCTGGGCTGGTTATGTTATACAGAGAAATCCTATTTCAAAAACTCAAACCAAACCAAACGAAAAGAAAAAAGAAAAAAAAGAAAGAAAAACAACCACAAAACACAAAAACAAAAAAAAACCCAGCCAAACAAATAAAAACTCAAACCTGGAAATCCCCAGCGTTCCTTGTGTGGTGTATATGCATGGAGATAACAGTACAAGCAAATGGAGGAATGTTAAAAAAACAATGATAACAACCAACCATAATAAGCATCCCAAAGAAAACGTTAGTGAAGAACAATCCTACAGAAGAGAAATACTCCATGGGTTATTCTTTATAAAACTTCTCAGAAAGGCAAAATACCCTATGGTAATAAAAGTCAGTGTAGTGCCTAAGGAAGAGAGTGGCGGGGGGGCCTTTTTTTTTTTTTTTTAAGTGTGTACTAGTTATTCATCTAGATTCAGCTTATTAAACTGCATTAACTTGGTGACCACTGTTGTGCTGTCCAATGAAGGCTTGTGCCTCTTTTTATATGTATGTTATATGTCAGTGTAAAGTAATTTGGGAATATTCCAAATTAATATCCTAGACATGGAATTTATGTATCCAAAACATTCTTCATAAAGATCAGTATGCCCTTTTGATCATTTAAAAAGTTATATTCACTGAAAACTAGCTAATCAAATGTGCTGGAACTTACGGTTGCTGAGAATTGAGCATACAATGAAGGTTAGCTCCCCATCTTCAAAGGTGATTAGATAAAACAGGCTAGAACTGGGAACATGAGTGAATACTACCTGCAACATTAGAATAGTACGCACGGTGGCGCTGCAGACTAACAATTTGTATAACAAGGGGCTCCACTGTACAGGAAGCCCTTCTCGGTAGCAGAATGCTGACTGTTCCCTGAAAGAAGGGGGCATTTACTTAAGATCTAAGACAATGGACTCCTGTAAGCAACTCTGTAGGATTTAATTCAAAGTTATTTCATCATACCTTATCTGTGTGGATTAAAACTGACTAGAAGCAGCACCATCTGAACTGCATCTGAACAATGGAGACAGCTCTAGCAAAAACGCCAGGAAAAAGGCAAGTAGCTTTTCTTACTATATTGTTGCTTTTGTGGGAGGCTGGCTCTGAGGCAATTAGATATTCCATGCCAGAAGAAACAGAGAGTGGCTACTTGGTGGCTAACCTGGAAAAAGATCTGGGGCTCAGGGTGGGGGAGCTGGTCTCTAGAGAGGCACGAATCCATCACAGAGGAAACAAAGAGCTCTTGCAGCTGGATGCAGAGACCGGGAATTTGTTTGTAAAGGGAAAACTAGATCGCGAGGAGCTGTGTGGGGTGAGAGAACCCTGTCTGCTGCACTTCCAGCTCATACTGGAAAACCCTGTGCAGTTCTTCCAAACTGACCTGCAGCTCACAGACATAAACGACCATTCTCCAGAGTTCCCTCACAGAGAAATGCTCCTGAAAATTCAAGAAAGTGCCCAGCCAGGGACTGTGTTTCCTCTGAAGGCAGCTCAGGACTCTGACATAGGGAGCAATGCTGTTCAGAACTACACAGTCAGCTCCAACCTCCATTTCCATGTGGTCACTCTCAGTCGAGCTGATGGCAGGAAATACCCAGAGCTGGTGCTGGACAGAGCCCTGGACAGGGAGGAGCAGCCTGAGCTCACTTTAACCCTCACTTCTGTGGATGGAGGTTCTCCACCCAGGACTGGGACGACCACAGTTCGCATTGAAGTCGTGGACATCAATGACAACGCCCCCCAGTTTGTACAGTCGCTCTATGAGGTACAGGTCCCTGAGAACAGCCCCGTGGATGCCTTAGTTTTGACAGTCTCTGCCATGGATTTAGATGCTGGGATACATGGGAATGTAGTCTACTCTCTGTTTCAAGGCGGTGAAGTTTCTCAACCATTTGTAATAGACGAAGTCACAGGAGAAATTCATCTTAAAGGGGCATTGGATTTTGAGGAAACTCAATATTATAACATGGAAATTATAGCTACAGACAGTGGAGGCCTTTCAGGAAAATGCAGTGTAACTATACAGGTGTTGGATGTGAATGACAACGCTCCTAAACTCACCATATCTTCGCTCACTACTTCAATCCCAGAAAATGCTCCTGAAGCTGTAGTCGCTGTTTTTAGTGTTTCTGACCCAGATTCTGGGGACAATGGAAGGATGGTGTGTTCTATTCAGAATGACCTTCCGTTTCTTTTGAAGTCCACATTCGAGAACTATTACACTTTAGTGACAGAGGGACCACTGGACAGAGAGAGCAGAGCTGAGTACAATTCACACAAACCTCCTACACCCTGTTTGTCCAGGAGAACAACAGCCCCGCCCTGCACATAGGCACCATCAGCGCCACAGACTCAGACTCAGGCTCCAATGCCCACATCACCTACTCGCTGCTGCCCACCCACGACCCGCAGCTGGCCCTCTCCTCGCTCATCTCCATCAATGCAGACAACGGGCAGCTGTTCGCGCTCAGGGCGCTGGACTATGAGGCCCTGCAGACCTTCGAGTTCCGCGTGGGCGCCACAGACCAAGGCTCGCCTGCGCTCAGCAGTCAGGCTCTGGTGCGCGTGCTCGTGCTGGACGCCAATGACAATGCGCCCTTCGTGCTCTACCCACTGCAGAACATATCTGTGCCCTGCACAGAGCTGCTGCCCAGGGCGGCAGAGCCAGGCTACCTGGTCACCAAGGTGGTGGCAGTGGACCGCGGCTCTGGCCAGAATTCCTGGCTGGCATTCCAGCTGCTCAAGGCCACGGAGCCAGGGCTGTTCACCGTGTGGGCTCACAATGGCGAGGTGCGCACCTCCAGGCTGCTGAGTGAGCGCGATGCTCCCAAGCACAGGCTGTTGCTGCTGGTCAAGGACAATGGAGATCTTCCTAGGTCTGCCAGTGTCACTCTGCATGTGCTGGTGGTGGATGGCTTCTCTCAGCCCTACCTGCCTCTGCCCGAGGTGGCACGGGACCTCACTCAGGACGAAGACTCACTCACGCTGTACCTGGTCATTGCCTTGGCGTCAGTGTCTTCACTCTTCCTCTTGTCTGTGCTGCTGTTTGTGGGGGTGAGGCTGTGCAGGAGGGCCAGGGCGGCCTCACTGGGTGGCTGCTCTGTGCCTGAGGGACACTTTTCTGGTCATCTGGTGGATGTCAGTGGCACAGGAACCCTGGCCCAGAGCTACCAGTATGAGGTGTGCCTGACTGGAGACTCTGGCACCACAGATTTCAAATTCTTTAACCCCATTAATCCCAGTAGTCTGCTTCAGGACCAGTAGGTAAGTTTCAGTGTCCGGGAGACCGAGGTCTCAGGAATAACGGAATCAGGATTAGTTGCTTGGCTATTAATACATTCTTTCCTTGAGTCAACATATTTGTATGTTGATTTTATTCTGTTTTTTAAAATGGTGTATCTTTTTTTCTTTTTCGGGCCAGTGGTTCCTATTTTATCAAGGAAACTTTAATGCATCCTTATTGTTCACTAACTTGGGAGGGGGATATGTAACTCTGCTGTGTTCTCTGGCCATTTGAAATACTGTCCTTAGGATCTCACTTCTATGTCTTCATTATTACAAGGGGAGATTTCTTCAATGCTCACTTCAAATTGTATCTTGTTGAAGCTATTCATATAATTTGCTGTATAGCATTTATGTTGATTTCCACTTTCATTACAGCTTGTTAAATGGCGCAATGTTCAGCGTTCATTGTGACATTTTCAGAGCTATGCATACTATACCTTGATAATACTCACCTCTTTATCACACTCTCTAGTCCTGTTGTTTTTCTCCCCATCACACTCTCTCATGTACTTCTTGTCTTTTAGAGGGTGATTATTTACTCTAAGTTATCTGCAGTTCCATTTCCCTGAAGATGACATTTTCATTATTGATGCCTGAATAAAGTCACTCCTTCATCCGTGTGTTTTCCTCACCCACACTTCTGTTTTATAATGGCAACACAGCTAATGAAGTGTGTGCATAATACAGTCATCTGTCATAGCTTTACATCTTTCATACATAAACAGAAGTAGTGTGTTGTTAAAATTATCTTTGCTGACAGTCACAATCAGTAGTTCAAGACTTCATTTGCTTATATACAGGCCAAAATTGCTTCCAAAATGTATCATAAATAACCTTGCTTGACCTAAGCCATTGTAAGTGACCGAGTGCGATTTCATTTTGTTTGGGAAGCTGTCTAATGAGGCATGTGTTGTGTTGATTTGTAAATGCTGCATATAAATGAGGGCACATTAAACTTTCAACAAAATATGCAGATGAATGGCTTTTAAGTGTTTAGTCTTTTTTATTATTAATACTTACTTGCCATAAATAGGGTGACAGGGGAAATATTTCCATTGGGTCCTATCAATCTGTCATGATATAGGATTATTATATAGGGAATGAAATCTATCAGTCCATATCAGTGTTCTTACTACAACAGTGTAATTAGTGTGCAATGTAGAAATTTATAATGGGAAAACAGTATAAATTGACAAATTTAGATTTTCTACAACTAAAAATACCAGATGGAAGCAACCAAAACCAAAGAATATGCCTATTTTGAGTGAATTTTTTAAAAAAGTTTCATTAACAATTTTTTCCTTGGTTACATTTATTTAAAAATCACTTTTCATATTTTATCATTCAGATGTATCTATCTAGTTTTTGAATGTTACTGTCTACAAGAAAAACAATTGAATTAATCAAAAATTGAAAATGACCTGAATGGTAGTGGCACATTTCTTTAATCCCAGCACTCAGGAGACAGAAGCAGGCGGATCTCTGAGTTAGAAGCCAGCCTGGTCCACAAAACAATTTTCAGGACAAGCCAGGTGTACAAATAGAAACCTTGTCTTGATAAATCAAAACAAAAAATGAAAACAGTTTTGAAAATTCAGGAAAGACAAGAATTTAATATTGACACAACAATGATCATCAGTACCTATAGCTGTATAGTTATAATCACATTTAAATGCCTTTGGGAGCTGTCAACCACTTTCCAAACAGGAAGCTCCCCAGCATAAAAATTATGTCAATGAGCATGGAATGCATGAATTCTCAATAATCAGAAATAATCATCCATTCAGCCCAAATTCATATGAATATTTTAATTAGAGTTTTCATCTTTTCATAGGTCTCTGCAATGTCTTGGAAATTTTGTAATTCATATAAGACAATTATTTTTGAGAGGCACTATAACGTATTAGATCACACTAAGGTGGGAAGGGCTTTATGCTGATGACCCATTTACAGCTTGAAGACAAAGGATTAGATACTATCAATGGGGGTGCACAAGCCTGTGTGTGTATGTGTGTGTCCAAAATCTGGATTTACAGTATACAAATTATACCTTTTATCACCAAGGCACATCCTCAGTCTCAGATCCTATTAGTAATTTAACTTATGGATGGCTTATATTTATACATTGTTGACAAAGTGGGCAGAAAATTTCTAAGCCAATAAAATAACCTGGACTGAATTTGAAGAAAAAAGTCAATCTTGGTTCAAAGTTATTTGTATTTTGGGGCAGTTAGAAACCTCCTACCCATATATTTGAATTGTTTTCCAAAACTACTGCTATTATATTTTGAGATAGGTTCTTGTTCAGTTCTCTCTGTGTAGCCTAGACTGGCCTCCAACTCTGATCCTGAAGTCTGGGGCTACAGGTGGACCTCTATGCCTGGTTCCAAAGGCTGCTTTAGATGGATATTTTATTAAGCACAGGACTCAGGGGATGTGGAAGTTTGAATGTAATTGGCCCCCATAAGCTCATAGGGAGTAGCGATATTAGGAGGTGTCACCTTGTTGAAGGAAGGGTGTCACTGTGGGGGTGGGCTTTGAGGTCAAACTTCACTCAATGTAACACTCAGTCCACTTCCTGTCACCTTCTGGTCAGGATGTAGCCAGCACAATGTCAGCTTACACACTGCCATGCTCCCTGCCATGATGATAATGGACTAGGCCTCTGAAACTGTAAGCTGCCACCTCAATTAAATGTAACCATTGCCTTTATTATAATCACCACAGTCATGATGTCTCTTTACAGCAATAGAAATCATAACTAAGACAGGGGAGGTACTGTATGTATAATACTAACTTCTGTTGTTCTTTGGGGCATTTTACAAACTGCAAGTCTGTTATCAGTGAGAGCGATGACTTTATCAATCAGTTCTCTAGTAATAAGATTACTATCGTTTATGTACAAGTTGGTATTACCGATATTTCAATGATTGAAGAGGAATCAAAATTAAATAAAAATTGAGTTCTCTTACTGTTAAGTTACTTCAGCATACACTAAATAAGCTGAAAGTGTTCTTTTGGTTTTACTTATAGTTGAGCTTGTAGTATATGACACAATGTCTCATTCAAACCAGATGCTCAATTTGTGTTCATTGAATAATTTAAAACATTTAACAAATCATTGAATTTTGTGAGGACTTGAAGATTTATCTCAAACTTGTGTACACATTGAATTTCAAAAGAGTAATCCATATTCATAAAGGGGAATAATAATTTGATTTTGTCAGAATAGCACCAATATCTATGCAGCCAGTTTTAATTTAAATCTCTGGAAACTCAGAGAAGAGAAAAATAATCTCTAATTTGGTTCCAAATTGAGCTCATTGGTGTTTTTGATTTTAGGGATGGGAAAAAATACAAGATTTTTTTGGTCATCCAATTAACTCCCAGAAATCTCTGTTTAATTTCTTTGGTCTCTAAGTGGTGCTTCTATTGACCCTTAGTTACTCTTTACAGCATCAAAATTAGATGAAAATTTCAAAATAGAGATTCAGTCATTCATTTTCAAAACATAATTTCATAAGTATATACTATCCCTCTTTTTCTATGAAGACATAAATTCAGAAATGTAATTATTTTCTTGAAAACCCACTGTCTAACGTTAGTCCATAACAATAGTATGGTTAGTCATACACTTAAGAATGAAAACATTTTTTCTACTGCTCTTCTGTTATCCAACACTGTTGATTGCAAGTGTGGTGTCATCTAGATTCTTGGTCATTATATGTAAATCCCTGTTCCTTCCACACTTGATTTTCACAAAAGCAGAGAACTGAGGTCTCATTTTGTTTTATATTATTTCATTTATTAATCAAGTCCTGACATTTGCTATTCCAGAACTCAAGAGCCATGTAATACATTACATTGTTTTTACCAGTTCTCATTTTCTTTTTCAAAAATTCCACTTGGCATATTTTCATAGCAACTAGTACTTACTTCACAGTTGTCATTTCCTACTTTTGATTTAGCCAAATCAAATCTCTTTCGCTTGCAGTCTTTCCATGTGGTTAAGAGTCTCTATGTCCTAGGGGAGAGAACAAACACTGAACCTGTCCAGTCATTTTTTTTCCATGGCGTTAGTCATGGAAAAGCTGATTTTAATCAGCTTCTTACCTTCTTTAGGAAGTTCCTTCATACTGTCCTGGCTTTAATGATCTTTAAAAGAGAGGTTGGAGGTCTCATGGTAATTTACACTCAGGTTTCAGGAGATTCAAGCCTTAATTAAGAGCATTTGCTCACACATGGGTAGAGGTTCTAATTTCCTAAAGTTGTGTTTGAGCAAGGTTCAAACAGCCTTGAGGATTACAATTCTGCATTTGCTTTATGAAGCCAGTATCTTAGAGAATATCTCCTGCATTGCTGTTATGGTGCCTGTGAAGGTGCTAGACCTGAGTCCCTGTGAGAATATTTTTATAAAGTAATTGATGAGTGAAAACCACGTGGAAAGCCTGGCATGGTGGTGCATGCCTTTAATCCTCAGCACTTTGCAAAGAGAATCGGGTGGACTTCTGTGAGTTTGAGGCCAGCCTGCTTTACACAGGGAGTTCCAGAACTGCCAGGGCTGCATAGACCCTGCATAGTCCCTGTCTCAAAACAACTACTAAACTACATACAAGGGAAAGCTTACAACCTTGATATTGGCATAAATGTACAAATTTGATGATGACCAGCACATTAAGACAGAAACAATCCAAAATTCCTATTCTGAATGAGTGTCTGCTATATTTAGGCTCTAGTGATGAAGTAACATAAACTAGCTACTCTAAAGGCAATTTCCTCATCACAAAGGCATACATCCAACATGACTGCTATAATAACAAAGGTCAGAGCAGCAACTACTTATCAGCTCATTCTCTGGCAGTAAACTGTGACAAAACCAGGAAAATATAGTAAAAGGAAAGAAAACTATACATCCATTTGCTTAATCAATGCTGATGTGAAAATTCTCAAGAAAATACTGGCAAACTGTCACCAATAACAGATAAGATTGTACATCCTGACTGTGAAAGATTTATCCAGGACAAAGTTGGTTCAACATAGAAACATCAACACTGAAATGGACCAATTGAATGGCAAAGCCACACAATCATCCTAACAAAGTCAGAGAAATATTTTATAAAATGCTCTAGCTAGAAAGAGAAAACACAGATATCTTTGGTGTCACTTTGCACACACAAAATCTTAAGTAATCTGCAAGCATGCGAACATTAATGAACAAATTCGGTAAGTTTGTAGAGTAAATGCTCATCATCCTAAAAGTAGCTATCTCTGTATCTACAACTGGCTAAACTGAGAATGAAGAAACAGTCCCTTGGAATCAAAAGGAGCAAGAAGCTTAGGAAAGAAGCAGACAGATATGTAGAGAAATTTCATACAGAAGACTAAAAAACATAAAGGAAATTCCAAAAGGCCTATGTAAGAAGGAAGTGTACGTGGAATGGAAGACTCTGTATTGTAAAGATTACCCTCAAACTAGTTTGCAACTTTATGGAATCCTTACTAAAATGCCACTTAGCTTTTCTCCTAGAAGTTACCAAAATGTCTCTAAATTTTTCATGTGGAAATGCAAGAACTCCTGAGTAGTCAAAACAATATTGGAAAAAGGAGAGATTTGAAGAAAATAAACTTCCTGGTTTTAATGTGATATTCTAAATTTGAAATAAAACATTTGAATGATTTAATGCACTAAATGTATACATACATTTTGTATTTCTATAGACACACAGGAATGATTTGTTAGCTATTGTCTTAGACTGCATCAAAAATTTATAATGTACTTTGCAATATTTTAGGCTTGGAGAGCTAGTCAATATAAAATTGGAGTTTATTTTCACCTACATACACTCTTTGTTTTATAGCTATCTCACTCAAGTGGTCAGCTGATGAATTAGGTCTATGGAACTGCCCATGCGTTGGAGTATTCAAGAAAAATTCCCCTCTATAAAAATTATAATGATATTGCACAAAACCTTGATATCAAGCTTAGTACTTTGATATTTTATCATTGTGGGAAAATACTTTTTCAAAAAATGCTTTCTTGTTTTGCCTACCCGATCACTCAAATCCTCAATGTGTGAGAGGATTAGCTGTCTTCTAGTTTTGATTTCATGATCCCTCTCACGCACAATATTGCATAATTGTACAAATTATGCAGTTTCAAGCAGTAACAACATTGGCAAATAAAATAATTACATGCATACACTTTTAAAATGACATTACTTTGGAAAAGTTAAAGAGGTGTTTGACTTGAAAATAGAATTGTAACAATTTCTCAAAAAAGACACAGGGTGGCGCTGCAGGCTAAGATTGCGATTTAAAAACACTAAAATACCAGGATTCTCTTGCGGCAATACAGAACAAAAGAGGATCACAAGAGCTTTGCAAGCACTTCGGATCTATGAAGGGGTTTGGGCAAGGATATACTGGATTAATGTAAGATTAAGAGCAAAGTTGTGAAGATCCTTCCGAAGAAGAAACTGAACACAGCATTTCAAAACATTTGGAGACCGCCAAAGGATTGGATGCAAACACTCACTTTCCCAACATGGAGAGAATTCACCCAAACAGGCAAGTCATGGCTTTTATCTTTATGCTGGTTTTGGCTCAGGTTTGCAGTGAGCAAACAACTCGGTACTCTATCTTGGAGGAAACAGAAAGTGGCTCCTTTGTAGCCCATCTGTCCAAGGACCTGGGCCTGAGATCTGGGGAACTGACAGCCCGCTCTGCACGGGTGATGTCTGATGATTACAAGCAGAGATTGCTGCTGGATCCTGAGACAGGAGATCTGCTTCTGAGGGAGAAACTAGACCGGGAAGAGCTGTGTGCCTCCGTGGAGCCCTGTGTGCTACATTTCCAGGTGTCTCTTGAAAAGCCAGTGCAGTATTTTCAAGGAGAATTGCTGATCCAGGACATAAATGACCACTCACCAGAATTCCCAGATAAGGAAATGCTCTTGAAAATACCAGAAAACAGCCAGCCAGGGACTCTGTTTCCACTGAATTTAGCTCAAGACTTGGATGTGGGCAGCAATGGGCTTCAACAGTACACAGTCAGCCCCACCTCTCATTTTCATGTGGTCACTCGAAATAACAGTGAAGGCAAGAAGTACCCGGAATTGGTGCAGGACAGAGCCCTGGACAGAGAGGAGCAGGCAGAGATGAGCTTGACCCTCACGGCTCTGGATGGCGGGTCTCCACCTAGGTCAGGAACAGCTATGGTTCGAATCCTGATCCTGGACATCAATGACAATGCCCCTGAGTTTGTGAACACCCCCTATGAGGTGCAGGTCCTGGAGAGCAGTCCCCCAGACTCCCCAGTCCTGACTGTCCTTGCCAAGGATGCAGATGCTGGCAACTTCGGGAGAGTTTCTTATGGATTGTTCCAAGCCTCAGATGAAATTCTACAAACTTTCTCAATAAATGAAGTCACCGGAGAAATACGACTGAAAAAGGGATTGGATTTTGAGAAAATCAAATCTTACCATGTGAAAATCGAGGCCACAGATGGAGGAGGCCTTTCTGGGAAGGGTGCTGTGGTGATAGAGGTGTTGGATGTGAACGACAATGCCCCAGAGCTGACAATATCTTCACTGGCCAACTCAGTCCCAGAAAACGCTCCAGAGACCATAATCAGCATCTTCAGAGTTGGAGACAGGGGCCCCGGAGAGAAGGGAAAGGTGGTTTGTTCTATTCCAGAAAACCTGCCATTCATCCTAAAATCCACTTTCAAGAATTTCTACACCCTGGTGACAGAGATTCCACTGGACAGAGAGAGCAGAGCTGAGTACAACATCACCATCACAGTCACCGACCTGGGCACACCCAGGCTCACAACCCAGCACACCATAACAGTGCAGGTGTCCGATGTCAACGACAACGCCCCCGCCTTCACACAAACCTCCTACACCCTGTTTGTCCAGGAGAACAACAGCCCCGCCCTGCACATAGGCACCATCAGCGCCACAGACTCAGACTCAGGCTCCAATGCCCACATCACCTACTCGCTGCTGCCCACCCACGACCCTCAGCTGGCCCTCTCCTCGCTCATCTCCATCAATGCAGACAACGGGCAGCTGTTCGCGCTCAGGGCGCTGGACTATGAGGCCCTGCAGACCTTCGAGTTCCGCGTGGGCGCCACAGACCAAGGCTCGCCTGCGCTCAGCAGTCAGGCTCTGGTGCGCGTGCTCGTGCTGGACGCCAATGACAATGCTCCCTTCGTGCTCTACCCTCTGCAGAACGCGTCTGCTCCCTGCACAGAGCTGCTGCCCAGGGCGGCAGAGCCAGGCTACCTGGTCACCAAGGTGGTGGCAGTGGACCGCGACTCTGGCCAGAATGCCTGGCTGTCCTTCCAGCTGCTCAAGGCCACGGAGCCTGGGCTGTTCACCGTGTGGGCTCACAATGGCGAGGTGCGCACCTCCAGGCTGCTGAGCGAGCGCGATGCTCCCAAGCACAGGCTGCTGCTGCTGGTCAAGGACAATGGCGATCCTCCTAGGTCTGCCAGTGTCACTCTGCAAGTGCTGGTGGTGGATGGCTTCTCTCAGCCCTACCTGCCTCTGCCCGAGGTGGTGCAGGACCCTGCTCAAAAGGATGAAAAGGAACTCACGCTGTACCTGGTCATTGCCTTGGCATCTGTGTCTTCGCTCTTCCTCTTGTCTGTGCTGCTGTTCGTGGCTGTGAAGCTGTGCAGCAAGGCCAGGGAGACATCTCTGGGTGGCTGCTCTGTGCCAGAGGGACACTTTCCTGGACACCTGGTTGATGTCAGCGGTGCAGGAACCCTGTCCCACAGCTACCAGTACGAAGTATGTCTGACCGGGGATTCTGGGACTGGTGAGTTCAAGTTCCTCAAACCCATGATCCCTGAGCTATTGACTCAGGATCCTGGGAGAGAACTTAAGGAAAATCTCCATTGCAGGGATAGCTTTGTTTTCAGCTAAGTTGTAGGTTCTCAACCTGTGGATTGTGACCCCTTTGAGGTTCAGATGACCCTTTTTACAGGGGAACATATCTGATGTCCTGCATATTTACATTGTGAGTCACAGCAGTAGCAGTATTTCAAGTATGAAGTAAAAACAAAATAATTTTATAGTTCCAGGTCATCACATCATGAAGAATGTATTAAAGATCCACGGCATAGGAAGGTTGAGAACCACTAAACTAAATTCCTTAGTGATGTACCATTTTTTTCTTTTAAGAAATGATCTTGTTTCTATGAAGTTCTCCACTTGTCTAACCTACTTATAACCTTAGTTGCACTGACAGATACTTTTTTTTATTGGTATTAAGGTACTAGTTGTAGTTGTACTACCATAACCCTAAGTAACCCAAGTAGTGTAAATATTTTCTGTGAATGACACTGTTAATGATCTTCTGAGACATTTTACTGCTCTCAAAAAAGTTACATTTGTGGCACCTGCCCTTTCCATCTAGTTTTATGGTTTCAAAGGTTGGTTGGTTAAAATTACTTGTGTTGCCTGCACGAATGGAAAGTGGCATTATGTCAGGTTCACTCTCAGGCTATGTACCCTGAATAGCCAAGTCATAAAATGTAAAGTGTATTTGAATATACACAAGGGTTGTGACACTTTTTGTTTGTGAGCATCATGCATGCTTGTGGTCCTGTTCATTTGGTTCCAATACTACCATTAAAGTTTTGAATTCTTACTTGACACAGAATTAAAGAGAAAATGTGTAATTTCTCATCCCATTTTAAAAATAAACTTTTAAATCACTGCTTTAATATAATCTCCTTTGGGATAGGAATTATGTCCTTAAGTTCTTCTTGAAATGTAGCTTTTAGTTATTAATTCAATTTTTTAAAAAAGAAATAAATAACCAGATACTTCAGTGAGCCACACACAGAATACCTGAAAGTGAGGAGGAGACCTGTTAGGAAGAAGGGCTTTGGCAGGAGAGGGAGGGGTAAGAGAGATTTGGGATGTAGGAGAGGGCTAAACAATGTCTGAAGAGATAATGACTGACAGTTTCTACCACTGCTGAGTGTTTGGATGTTTGGGGTATCCGGATAATCTCATCAGGTTCTGTAAGAAGCAAAGTCCACTTGGGCATATCACAGGAAAGTTGCTCAACACAAGATCCAGGACAGGAAAAATATTAAAGCAACCGTATGAAAATGATGTGTTTCTTTTAAAGGAGCACCAGTAAAGCTAAGACCTGACTTTTAAGCATTAATCATGAAATCAAGACAATGCCTTTAAATTCCTTCGAAAAATAGCATTCCCAACTATAACTCCAGCACACATAGCCTTCAAAGGTAATACTTTTCCGCAAAGACTGAGAGAAATTGTTGAGTCACATAGGCACTGAGACAAATACTTTTAGTGAGTTAATAAAGCAGAAGGAAACCCCAAAAGGACTGCAGACTTGTGTCAACAAGTAAAAAGTAACAGGAAACGTTACAAGTGCATATTGACCAGGTAGTGACTGTATAAATTCAGAATAGTGGGGTCTTAAAATAATACAAGGGCAGAGGAATAGATGTACAGAAAAATGAGAGAAAGCAGGAAAAGTTTTAAAATGAAGAGGGAGTTGGGCTTGGTGTCACACTCCTTCAATCTCAACACTAAGGGAGCAGAGTCAGGTGCATCACTGATTTGAAGGCCAGCCTGATCTACAAAGAGAGTAGCAGGCCAGGTACAGCTATGTAGTGAGACACTGTCTAAAAACTGGTTTTCTAAACCAATTGTCTCATAGTCTTACTACTTTTTCTTCTGATAAATCAAGGGCATATTTTGTATGGTAATTTGGGTTTTGAGGGGAGACTTTTAAGATTTTTCTCTTTCTTTGAAATATCTTTGTGTTCACATAACTATATTACCTATTTATTTTTACTGTTTCAGTAGGCTTTCCTTAAGGATATTTTATGTGAAAATTAATTCTGAAAAAAATTCTGTTTTTGGGAAAAATAAGGTCTTCTATTGAATCTTGCTTTTCTTCCTTCTCTTTATTATTTCTTTCTGGGAACTTTTTTTTTCTTGAGATCCTCATTCTGTTCTCCACACCCCTTGAGTTGACATTTTTATTTCTCCCTGCTATGCCAGTAGATTGTCTTGATGTTATCTCAGCTTACCCAAAGTCTGTTAGTCTACAAAGATGTACAAGTATCTAAAAGTCATGTTGATAAATTTGTCTCAATGATAATTTATTTCTAGCTTTACTATTTTTAACAATTAAAGACCTCATGTGATTTTTATTATGACCTTGGGATCGACTTCCCATCTCTCAGTTCTCCCTTGGTTCTTTTGGATATAAATCACTGAGATTACCACATCCTGATGATGGAGAAGTCATATATACATACACACCTCCATAATATACATGTACAACTTTTATCAGAGATTACACTCTCATATATTACATCTACTTTCCAGTTATCATAGGTTTAACGTGAGGAGTTACTTACTATCTCTAACCTTGACTGCTCTCTCCTCTACTTTACTGAGAAGTCTCAGTGCAATGAGAACAGATTCATGAGGAAATCACTTGTTTCCAATGAAATTTTCATGTACAATGGCTGCTGTTGCTGCCTTTCTTTTCCTCCCTGCTGTCTTTGCTCTCACTCTTGTTCTTTCTTCTTTTATTTTCTTCTATTTATATCTCACATGTACTAAAGATTTAGAGGCAAGAAGCACATTACATAAGAGCTGTGTGTATGTTGACTGTGTGCAGGATATTTGGTACAAAGTAAAATTTGAATATGTTCAGGTGATGAAATCATGAGAACCAGTGGGCTATAAACTTCCTAGATTACATTATAATCACAGACAATGTATTCATTTTTGTTTCTGTTAATCTTAAATAAATCAAACCATCAAAAATTTATAAGGAAAATATGTTGTATTTGATAATTAATGTGAAATGCCATTTAAAATTCAAAACTGAAGAAAATATAAATCCAATCAATCATATCTATTATATAAAGGTATTATAAAACTCCATTACGCATGTTGAAGTATTACAAATGTTAATATTAGAACTAGCAAAAATGTATACACTTGTAAAAGTAGTCAACATATCACAAATCAACTGGGTGTAAGAAAGAATGACAAAACAAAAAAAAACTTTCTTAAGGCAATCAAATTCAGACATGTGTAAGAGAAAATAATGAATTACTCTTTCTAATTTAATGCAGTTCAGTATTTGAAATTTGACCACTGTAGTGCATCACCACAATAGATAAAGGAGAAACCCAAGAAGATTAATCTCAGTGGGTACAGAAAAATTTATGCAACAAAATTCATCACACATTAATGGATAAAATATTAACAAATGAAATTGGAAAGGAATTTGGAGTATGTTCAAAAATATACAGTAGCTAGATATGGTGGCACCTGCCTTTAATCTCAGTAGGCAGAGGTGTAGCACAAAAAAATCAAAAACCCAGAGACTGATATTGGGATTCCAGCTTCAAGATGTAGACAGATAAGCATAGCAACTGGCCAATAGCTTCTCCCTCTACCTCAGACTGAAATACTATCCTGGCTTCACCATACTCAGATTGCAATCCCAGACTGCTATGGTCTCCTCAACATGGTTGGAGAATCCTGAGACTGGCTATTGAAGACCCTGCTCCTATCTTTTATATCTCTCCAGTACTGCAATTGAAGGTGTGAGCTCTGTTACTCTTTTTAAACTGATTCAATCTCATGTAGCCCTGGGTGGCCTTGAACTCAGAGAGATCCATTTGCCTTTGTCTCCTGAGTCTTGGGATTAAAGTTATGTATCACCACTGCTTGATCTCTATAGCTTGAGACAGACTTTTCTTTCTGAATCCCCAGACAAGCTTTAATAAATCATAAATAAATATCACCATCAGTGAGTTTGAGATCAATCTAGCCTATGTAAGGAGTTCCAGAACAGGGAAGGCTGCACATTAGGACCCCATCTCAGAAAACTAGACTAATACATATATAGTAAATATTACTACAAGTGAATTATTGAACATTTTCTGATGACAATCAAAAATGAGATGAGGATGCCCACTCTGGCTATTACCAAGATTCTATGACCAGTCTCAACCAGAGGAATAAGGTAAAAAAGAAGTAAAAGCCACAACAGAAGGAATAAATTTATATTTTTAAATTATACAATTATATGCATAAAACCCATGAAGATGCTGCAATCAGAAGTGATAAGTGAAGTCAGGAATGTTGGTAGATGCAAAGTCAACATGTAAGAAAAATGAAGAAAAAGTGAAAAAATTAAAGCATTTAAGGCTTACAAATATAGAAATGCTTAGAAACAAATCTAGTGAGAGAGTTGTAAAGCAGGAATATATAACATTATTGAGAAAAATAAAAAGATTTTAGTAAATTGAGGAATACACAGCCTATTGGAAAGACTCTGTGATTGGAATGATGTTTATCTTTCAAACAATAGAAAATTTAAAATATCAAGCAAAAACTTCAACATTCTTTGTGAATTTGATGAGCTGAACATATGCTTTGTATTTATATGCAAAGAGAAAATAATAAAGCAATCTTAATCCAAAATAAACCTGTATATACTGTAACAGTAGTGTAATACCTGGAAGAAAGAATTGATAGTGTAGATTTCATTCAAATTAAAATTTCTGCTCTGCTGAGTTCCAGGATAGGCTCCAAAGCTACACAGAGAAACCCTGTCTCGAAAACAACAACAACAAAATTCTGCTCTGCAAAAGATTCTACAATGAAAAATTAAAAAATGAAACAAAAACAGCTCATAGACCAGCAGAAAATGCTGCCAGCAGATGTGTTTGGTAAAAGGCAGCTGTTCAAAATATGTAAAGACTTTCAAGACTCACCATTGACAAATCATGTAAAAAATATACCGAAGATCCTAACACTAAACAAGACTCGGAGATGGCAAATAAGCACAGGGGAAGAGACTCCATATGGATGTCATTAGGCAAATGCAAGTTCAAATAACAATGAGACATCACTACACAGCCATAAGACAGAATAGCCATACTCCAGGACACTGATGCTACCAACACCCGAGGAGGACATGAAGCACCAAGGATCCTTATTCATGGATCCTGGGAATGAAAATGGTATCGCCATTTTAGAAGATAGTTTGGCAGCTTCCTGCAAAACCAAGAACATTCTTATTATGTCATCCAGGAATCATTTTTTTGTATTTGTCAAATTAACCTAAAGCATAAGTCCACAAAAAAAATAACTGGGATAGGGTGTTTGTTTCAACCTTTTACATCACTTGTCAAAACCTGGCAGTGACCAAGATCCTCAGTAAGTGAAAGTGACAAAGTCTGATGCAATTACAGAATGGAACATTATTCCATACCGAGCAAAATGAGCTATCAATCCATGAATAGGCATTGAGGAAACTTAAACACATGGTCATCACAGAAGCAAAGCTGTAAAACTCTTAATAAAGAACATTTTGAAAAGGCCAAAGCAGGCAGACAGCAAGAAAGATAAATGATGGTGGCACCCCCCTTTAACACTAGCACTCAGGAGGCAGAGGCAAGTGGATCTCTGAGATTGAGGCCAGCCTGGTCTGCAGAGTGAGTTCCGGGATAGCCAGGGCTACATGGAAAAACCCTGTCTCGACAAACAAACAAATAAAAGAGACACATGATTTCCAGAGATTCCAAAAAAGGGAAAGGAAGATTAAATAAATAGCTTTCGAAGATTTGAAGTCAGGGAAACTACTTTGTGGTACTCTAAAATGGATGCACACTATGAAAAACTTAACCAAATCTACATAGTGTAGAGTACACAGAATGAATCCCAATTAAAGTGATGGACTCAGGGAAACATGTGTCAATACTGAAGCTCAAGTAGTTATAAGAAGCATACCACTCTGGAGGGGACAACAGGGAAGAACGTTGTGCTCAGCTGTGGAAATTCTCTGTGTCTTTAGTCATTTTTTCTGTGGATTTAAAATCCATCTTTTCAGAGGAAAACTTACCCTGAAGACAATAAGACCTGTTATAGACTTTTGATAAGTAAGAGAGCATATGATTGTTTGATATTCAAAGACAAATGGAACCTTGGAACTGATTCAGGATCACCTGACTTATGACAAGTGTAACAGCTCAGAATGGATCATCTTTTCAGTTCAGAATGCAAAGGCATTTGGGAACATATGCGCTTGAGAGAGTTTACATTGATTATACCTTTAAATGTGAGAAATAAAACAATCATTCAAAATACACAAGACTTCATTGAGTATGGAAAGATTTAAAATAGGAGAAAAGTGTTACACAGAAATGGAAAATATTGATAGATCATGTTAAGTTAAAATTACTAACTTTGTTTCTCAAAGACACTGTAAGTAAGAAGGTTAAAATAGAAGGCATAGTGTAGGGAAATTATTTGCAATATACATATCCAAAACGGAATTATACTAAGAATAAAGATTCTTCTGTAGACTAACAAGCCATTGGACAAATGCCTCAGATAAAAACATGAATAAAAGGCCTCATGCTAAGAAAGCATCTCAATGGTCAATAAACATGTGAAAGTTTGCCTTATTTCATTAATCACCCAGGAAATGCTAATAAAATATACACGATGACATCCATTCTCACTAGAGTGGTTAAAACTGGAAAGACAGCATCAAATGTTGACAAGATTATGGAGCAACTGGAATTCCTATGCGTTGCTGGAATTATTTTTCCACATTGCTGGGAATGGATCCCAATCCACTGAGTGCACTAGGCAAGCATTCTATTATTGAGCTGCATCTCCATCCACAGCTCTTAAAGAAATCTCTTTGAGACTGTGACTCATGATATACCCACTCTGGCCTTCAGTTTGTGATACCCTTTTGTGTGTGTTCCCAGAGATGGGACTACAGGGATGAGCTACCAGCTGCAGCTCAGGACAACTACCTTTGAACACTACTTCACAGTGCTTGTCAAGGTTAAATCTATTTTCACACTTTGATGCACAACAAATAGCTTTGATACATATAATATACACATATGTTATACACAGGATGTGTGAAAGATTGTTCATAGGAGTAACATTCAAAATTCAAATGGTGGCACAGGCCTTCAATCCCAGCACTTGGAAAGCAGAGGCAGGCAGTTCTGTGAGTTCAAGTTCGGCTTAGCCTGTATAGTGAGCTCCAGGACATCCAGGACTATGTAGAGAGATCCTGTCTCAAAAACAAAACAAACCCCCAACAAAACCCAAGCCAACCAAACAAACTGCACATAAAACTCACACCTGGAAACCACAATGTTGCTTTTCTGGAGTAGATGCAAACAAATAACTACATGAGCATATGAAGGAATGTACAAAACAATGAAAAGACCAGGTCAAGATCAGCTTACCAAAGAAAATGACAGCGAAGAACAATCGCACAACAGATAGAGATTCTACTGGAACCACTTTATAAAACTGGTAAGAAAGGCAGAATATCCCATGGCAATACAAGTGAAGTGCTCAGGAGGAGAGGAGAGTAGCAACTAACGAATGGCAGGGGATCATTATTTGTTTACACACAAGCAATTTAATCGTCTAGATTCTGTTTATTACTTGGCGACTCTTTGTTGTTCTGTACACTTAAGAATAATGCTAATTTTTATATGTATGTAGCATTTCGGTGAAAAGTAACTGAGAATATTCAAATATTTTGTGGATATCCATTGCATTTAATTTATGTATTCAAAACCTCTTTTGATCAATATGCCATTTTGATAATTTAAAAAGTTATGTTCAGTGAAAATTAAATCAGCAAATGTGCTAGAACTTCTGGTTGCTGAGATTGGAACATTCAATGGAGGATGCTTCTTATCGTTGTTTTTCTTTTTTATTATAAATTTTTATGATCTTATTTTAAATATCTATCCCAGTTCCCTCTTCCTCCCATCCTCCCATATCTCCCACCAACCACCCCATAATATATCTTAAAGAGTGTTTAAACACAGCAGTGCTGGAACTGAGAACAAAGTGGACTACACTGTGTGCAACACTAGAAAAGTACGCACGGTGGCGCTGCAGACTAACAATTTGTGTAACAAGGGACTCAAAGGATAAGCCGGAAGTTCTTCCCGGGAATCAGAATGCTGACTGTTCCTGAAATAAGGGGGCATTTGCATGAGATCCAGGACAATGGACTCCTATAAGCAAATTATTAAGATGTAATTCAAGGTTATTTCACAAAACCTTATCTGTGTGGATTAAAACTGACTAGAAGCAGCACCATCTGAACTGCATCTGAACAATGGAGACAGCTCTAGCAAAAACGCCAGGAAAAAGGCAAGTAGCTTTTCTCATTATATTGTTGCTTTTGTGGGAGGCTGGCTCTGAGGCAATTAGATATTCCATGCCAGAAGAAACAGAGAGTGGCTACTTGGTGGCTAACCTGGAAAAAGATCTGGGGCTCAGGGTGGGGGAGCTGGTCTCTAGAGAGGCACGAATCCATCACAGAGGAAACAAAGAGCTCTTGCAGCTGGATGCAGAGATTGGGAATTTATTTGTAAAGGAAAAACCAGATCGCGAGGAGCTGTGTGGGGTGACAGAACCCTGTCTGCTGCACTTCCAGCTCATACTGGAAAACCCTGTGCAGTTCTTCCAAACTGACCTGCAGCTCACAGACATAAACGACCATTCTCCAGAGTTCCCTCACAGAGAAATGCTCCTGAAAATTCAAGAAAGTGCCCAGCCAGGGACTGTGTTTCCTCTGAAGGCAGCTCAGGACTCTGACATAGGGAGCAATGCTGTTCAGAACTACACAGTCAGCTCCAACCTCCATTTCCATGTGGTCACTCTCAGTCGAGCTGATGGCAGGAAATACCCAGAGCTGGTGCTGGACAGAGCTCTGGACAGGGAGGAGCAGCCTGAGCTCACTTTAACCCTCACTGCTGTGGATGGAGGGTCTCCGCCCAGGTCTGGGGCGACCACAGTTCGCATTGAAGTCGTGGACATCAATGATAACGCCCCCCAGTTTGTACAGTCGCTCTATGAGGTTCAGGTCCCTGAGAACAGCCCTGTCGATGCTTTAGTTCTGACAGTCTCTGCCATGGATTTAGATGCTGGGATACATGGGAATGTAGTCTACTCTCTGTTTCAAGGCGGTGGAGCTTCTCAACCATTTGCAATACACGGGGTCACAGGAGAAATCCGTCTGAGCAAAGAGTTGGATTTTGAGGTAACTAACCATTATAACATAGAAATTGCAGCCACAGATGGAGGTGGCCTTTCGGGGAAATGCACTGTGGCTGTACAGGTGTTGGATGTGAATGACAATGCCCCAGAGCTGACTATCAGAAAGCTCACAAGCCCTATCCCAGAAAACTCCCTGGAGACTGTAGTTGCTGTTTTCAGTGTTTCTGACCCAGATTCCGGGGACAATGGAAGGGTGGTGTGTTCTATTCAGAACGATCTCCCATTTCTCTTAAAACCCACTTTCAAGAACTATTACACTTTAGTGACAGAGGGACCACTGGACAGAGAGAGCAGAGCTGAGTACAACATCACCATCACAGTCACCGACCTGGGCACACCCAGGCTCACAGCCCAGCACACCATAACAGTGCAGGTCTCCGATGTCAACGACAACGCCCCCGCCTTCACACAAACCTCCTACACCCTGTTTGTCCAGGAGAACAACAGCCCCGCCCTGCACATAGGCACCATCAGCGCCACAGACTCAGACTCAGGCTCCAATGCCCACATCACCTACTCGCTGCTGCCCACCCACGACCCGCAGCTGGCCCTCTCCTCGCTCATCTCCATCAATGCAGACAACGGGCAGCTGTTCGCGCTCAGGGCGCTGGACTATGAGGCCCTGCAGACCTTCGAGTTCCGCGTGGGCGCCACAGACCAAGGTTTGCCTGCGCTCAGCAGTCAGGCTCTGGTGCGCGTGCTCGTGCTGGACGCCAATGACAATGCGCCCTTTGTGCTCTACCCTCTGCAGAACGCGTCTGTGCCCTACACAGAGCTGCTGCCCAGGGCGGCAGAGCCAGGCTACCTGGTCACCAAGGTGGTGGCAGAGGACAGAGACTCAG